GGGGAGAAAGCACATGCAGCCAAGCCTGGTAAGGAATTTAACAGGTAAAAGACATAGAAGGTAGCAATCCAGGCAGGTATAGGCTTAAGTATCAATATAGAACTCAATTTGCGCAGTATCACGCAAGTGCCTCGCGGCCCTCAAGAATCGGAGCTACATTGGTCTTGCGAGCTAGGAGAAGGTTGGGAATTGCGAATCTAGTGTTGGTAGTGATAACTGGATAATACATTGGCCAGATCCTACAACCTAGTAAACTTTTCTATACGCGTGCAGATCCGACAGGTTAACCGAATTTACTACTTGGTCGGTTACACCCTAGAGACTCTCAACTCTCAAAATCCCGTCACAAGAGGCGGCAAGTACGACGCAAAGGAAACGCAATGGCAAGGGAATACACCCGCAAGGCAACCCTACGGCCAGATCCACGATCTAGGCTCTGGATCCACTTAAGCTCGAATATTCGCTTAGGATCCAAAACCAACCACGGACGCAGAGTGAAGAGTTTACCACTGCTGCTCCACCCCATCCCCACGTCTCGCCAAGCCACTTAAGCTTCACCATTTAAACGCTTCGGAAGTTACCGAGAGAGCAAGATCCCGCCCTACTGACGGGTACACAAGGTGAGGAAAGTTCAGCAGAACACGGATCATCGGGGGGGCCCCTCCGTTAGTCGGTGTCTGGGCGCTGTTGGTAAGTTGGATCCAGCAATCTCGCAGATTCTACTGATTCCGCTATACCACAGCTGTAGCAAGCACCGCAATGGATTAGCAGCGGCCGGGAACACCGACGACGGCGACGATGTCGACAACAGCAACAGCAACTGCACGCGCGTGATGGACGACCAGCTTCGGCCGTGCGCTCTCTACGATATAAACGGGGCGCCAGCTGCGGACACGCTGGACACGATCAAGGGCCACTTCTGGCGCTTCCGCGTCCTACAGCAGAAACCTGTCGAGGGTCGCATACAACGCGTTGCCGGGGTCGTGATGCGTTTTATCCAGCGCTGGACCCAGACGCAAGAAGAAGGTGAAAGCTTCGTCGGCTGGCTGGTAAGTTGAGGTGAGACCATCAAGGCGCACTCGCTCACGGAACGCTGTAAGCGCGTCTGCACCGACGCATGGGAGAGCATGCGCCGCGTCTGTTACACAAGGATCGCTTTAGTTTTTTTGGACTTGCACTAGACCGCGCCCGACTTTCGAGGAGTGGAGGAGTCACGTCGCCGAGTATCCGCTCGGTGAACACAAATACGGGTGGATCGAGAAGTAGCGATGCTTGCAGGACGAGGACGTACGCACCTCTAATCGCGCTGACGCTTTCCAGGCGAGGACACTCGACGTTGGTCTCAGTCTCGTTCGCGTGGCCACTCAATTCGCTGATATCCGACTTGTTCGCGTGATCGATCATGTCGTCGGTCTCGATCACATTCACGTGGTCGCTCAAGCTGTTCTTCTTTTGCGCTCGCATACATCGCATGTTGGCTCGCAGCGAGCTTGGACACATACGCCTGGGTCACCTCCTGGACGTCACGCAGGACATGGCGCGGGGCTCCCACGTATCATCGTCGAAAGGATTTCGGGGTCATCGTACCCGATAGTGACGACCGGCTGAAACGTCATGGTCGAGGTCACGCTTGTGCTTGGACACGATGGTCTATCCTCGTGGGCAACAATGCGCTCAACAAGCCTGCGGTATATTGTGCAGAGTCATCAACAGGAGGGAAAGGTCACGTGGGTCGCGCTCGCGTTCATGCTGTCCCGGGCGAGAACGACTTGTTGAACCGCTGCTACTGGGATGCCAAATCGGAATTGGATGAGGCTCTGAATCAGGCTGGCCGGGCTACTGGGTAGAGTGCGCAGCTTCGTCAGTCGAACCGGGGGACCCTCTCTCGGCTGCAGATGCTGAAGAGATCCGTTCACGGTCGCAGCCACGGGATCCGATCGATGGCTCGCCGTGCGTCTCGACAAGGTCGATCGACGCATGCTGGGGCTCGGGATACTTAGTCGACCGTGGAATCGTGGCTGGGCAATATTGCTTGAGTCGTCCGCCGGATCACATCAGATGCAGATGCAGTGACGCAGGAATGTCCAGCGTATAGGCGTTGCCGATGACCTTGATTACCCTAAACGACCCAATAAAGCGCGAAGCGAGTTATTCGCGCCGTGTTTGATAACCGCAGATTTTCTGATACCAGGGGCACTCGTTCGCCTGTCATAAATGTGGCAGGGTGCTTGCGGTCAGTCATGTCTGCGTCCTCCTCCTGCTTGTCCACTGCGTCCTGTAGTGCGTCTCGAGCATAGCCGCTGACCTCTTGACGCTGTAGTACGAAGTCGGAGACGCCTGAGGAGTCGATCGGTCGCGCTGAAGCGAGCGGCGCGTAGCTACCTGGCGTAAGTGTGCTAGAAGCGCTCCGGGGCTGGTCGCGTTACGGTTAGGCCAAGCTTCGAGAGCACGCTGCGGAACGTGTCCCTGCTTTATCTGACTTTGTCTTTGGGAATACACTCGAGATATCATCAGCAGCCGGTGTAAGCACCGGTTAACCTAGTGTCGATGCCGTACTACTGGCCGGGTATACCTACGAAGCTCTCAACGCTCAAGACCCCGCTATAAGGGGCGGCGAGTACAACACAAAGGACCGCAAAGTCAAGGGAGCACACCCAACCCTACGGACAGATCTCAGCCATAGTTCCACCAAGCTCGAATATTCGATTGGGATCCAGAACTACGATTGGACACAGAGTGAAGATCTTACCGTTCCTGCTTCACCCCATCCGCACATCTCGCCATATACTCAAACTTCACCATATGAGCCTTCGAAAGTTACCGTGACAGCAAGATCCCGCGCTACTGACAGGTACACAAGGTGAGTAGAGTTCAAAACAGATCACGAATCATTCCCCCCGTAAGTCGGTGTATGGGCGTTGTTTGAAAGTTAAATCCAGCAATCTCGCAGGGTTTGCTGATCCCGCTACACCACATCATCCTGTCAATACCCCCAAAGAGTTATACTCTTATAAGGACGGCCACGACCGTACTTGGACTTCTTTTAAGGCTTGTTTTGTCAATTTCGACGATATGTCCTTCACCACCAATCTTAAGTACAGCACAGCTAGAGAGCATTCACAACACCAGATAATAACAGCACATGCTCACCTTGTTTGTGTCTGCAAAGAAGTTCCTTTGAGCACTGCACTCGACCTGCAACGTACCCGTTCGACACGTTCTTCTTGCTGGCCGTGGCCACGTGTGGGGCTTGGGTATGTGATGCTCGCATACAACATCCAAACATGAGTTCTAAGACTTGAGATAGCGATATCTTCATCTTCAAGAGCCACTTGCTCACAGAGACGCTTTGCTGCAATTGCTTCCAGTTTGCGTGACGCTTCTTCTTGCAACGCAACCATGAACATGTCGTCGTCATCGTCATCCTCGTCGTCATCGCCAGTCTTGCAGAAGTTATGGCTAACTGCAGCGTCTGTCTCCTCTTTATCATCCTTCATCTCGTCTTCCTCGTCATCTCCATCGAGCCAAGCGGTCTGGTAGCTAGACGCACCCTTGTTAGCCGCAGTATCCGCCTGGCGCTGCTTTTTGGCTTCGGCCTCAGCCTCAGCAATCTCCTTGTTCGTTGGCCACGTCTGCTCCGACGCGAATGGGTCGTACTCGGTTTTTCTTGCAACAGCGCCAATATCTCCCGCATGTGTTGGCCCGCATCGGCTGGGCGCCCTGGGGGAACATCACCGTCCCTTCTCCAACAGGCTCACCTCCATGTCCCTGGCGGTCGCCTTGCTCTCGTCTGTGGTTGCCACCATGACCGCGCCAAAGTCGAAGAGGTGACGCCGTTCAAGCTTGTTGCGGTGTGCCATGATTGGCACCTTACTAAAGGCTAGTATTAGGCTGGGCCAAGTTTAATGTAGAGCGAGATAGTTTTCAAACGGAGCTTTAAATTCTATATACTTCGAATTTGTGAGGATGGTTGCAGCTGCACTTTCGAAATGCGCGCAAAAAGTGGAGGAAAACGGTCACGGGTATGATACATGTGTGTAACACATCAGATGCTGCTTACTTCAGATTTAGTCATTTGAGACCTACATGGAATCTGCTTCAAGTCTTCTTTCTCGTTGTCTTTACGGCTGACAGAAAGCCCCCACCGTGCTCTTGTCGCAGAAATAAAATATTTTTAATTAGTTTTTCGTCTTAGGGCCCACGCTAGATTAGCAATAACTCGGAGGTGCTACTATCACCGTGGTAGGCACCAACATTTTGGATGGACCAAATACCAACGATTTTTTTTCAACGAGAAATCCGATTTTAAGGTCCGTGTGATTTGGATTTAGGCGATCATGGGAAACCTTTATTGCCCACACGATTGAGGTCGAACTTCGCTACTTAGTAAAGTATTGAAAACTATCTTATAGGTAAACAGGATCAGGCGTCGTCTACCCAAGTCGTTATCGTAAGAAATTCCACCAGACGGTGAGGGCGAGAGCTGGCTCAAGGATACCTTGATCAGGGAGAAGGGCTCTCTAGCAGCAGAGACTTTCCTCAACACAGTCCACTTACAGATGCTGTATCGTCGAAGCCTGTCCTCACAGTGGCACACCGTGAGGTTTACGACCACAACACGACCTAAAATCTTCGATTCCTAGTGCGTAACTCACCTTTCGCCGGTCTGCACTGCAGACTCTGCAGTGGGTAGCACGCATGCCATTTGTCTAGCCGCGACCAACGCCACCTCATTTGCACCCCTTCACTTGAATTTTACGCTGGGCAATCGGTGCAGCCAAAGCAGGGGTTCGTTGCATAGACTCTGAACATTTAATCTGGATGTTGCGCTTTGTTTTCTTTACCAAAATGAAGAGCTCAAGCAGAAAGTTGATGTCATAAACCTCGCACCTCTTGTGAGGGCGTCAACTGTATTGGATTCATGTGCATCTAATATGCAGCAATAGATTAAGAGTACACTAAGTCACTCACGGGACAACACCACGGAGAAGGCAGTGACTCTAGTTGGATATGTCCATGCAGTCTAGTGGCAATCGAGGTAAGGCGCGACCGGCCTCCGTAAGCTTGACACTACTGCTGTGGCTGAGCAGAGCGATTGCCTTGGCTGCAGTCTCGTCGTCCGAAAGATCCGATGAGCGGGAGCTGGATAAAGATCGACTACGGCTGCGGTTCGAGGGCGAGCGACCGGCTTTAGCACGTTCTAGAGCGCGCTCCTTTCGGATACGCTGCGCATCCTCGCGCGAGATGGCCGACCAGTTGATGGCGTTCTTCTTGGACTTCATGAGGCGGTAGGGCCAGACGATGCCGAGGCGCCGGCAGTTGCGCTTGATGGTGACCGTGGCGACGCCGAGCTGCTGTGCGGCTTCGCGCTGGGACATATGGAAGTACTGGGCCATCTCCTCGGTGGTGAAGTCGAAGACGACGCGGCTCTTGCGGGTTTTCTTGTTGGGACTGACACCAGGGGCACGGGTCTTGCTGTAGGTCACGGTAGGCGACGCCAGTTGCGACGGAGACGCAGTGGGCAGCGTGGCTGCAAAGCTGTCGAAGCTTACGTTGGGGCAAGAGTGTCGTTGGTGGTAGACTGTAGTGCCGCGATGGAGTGGGTGTGCTACACTGAAAGTACTGGGAGCGGTGACGCACACGGGAAACGGTGGCAAGCTCTGCATCGTGGTGATCGCTTTGGTGATGTTTATTGCGGTGGGGTTGGCTGCTTGCGGTGCAGCGGGAGAAATCGGGAATGACTCGTTCCGACCCACGCACATTTCTGCCTCGGGGTGAGCGCAAAGTGCAAGCTCCGTTCCGGACGGCGCTGACATGAGCGACACTGGCAAGAACCGGCCATCGGCTACTTTGCTCTCGCCATCGCCTGTCTCGTTCGGGACAATAATCTTAGTCTGCAGACGTGACGCGCCCGATGTCTAGCAGCGGTGTGTGGTTCAGCGACGGCGGCGACGCTTGTGACCGCCACAACTGGCGACAAGTGAGCCTGCCACACGGGACTTGACCCCTTTGAAGTTGGAATAAGAAGAATAAAGATCGCTTTAACACTCACTTCTGCAGAGCCTGGCCGCTTTACCGAACTCTAAATTGACCGCAAACGCTGAGACAGTGGACTTTTTTTTGGGGGGGGGGGGGACAGGAAACGTCGAATTAGTTACGTAAATGGCGGCTCTTCTGAATAGTTGTTGTGATGAAGCTATTCCGACGGAGCTACATGTATTCCCTTGCACGCCAACCCGGAAGAAATGCCTGCACCAACACATGGTTTGGTGGTTTGTGCGTGGCAAACTGATCGATCGGAGTGGCAGTCCACACGCCAGACCGTGGAAGTGTGTGTGTTTCTAGCAGAAACGTTTTGCCAGATATGATGCGGAATGTCGCGCCGCGGCAGTGCGTCCTTCGCCGAAAGAAAAACCGTTTCGATGTCGCACCTTTGCGTGCGGTTGTTGAAGGCGTGATGCAGCGAGGTTCAGGAAATCATGCGACCTGCACTCTCTCGTGACGGAAACTATTCACTTGAAACGTTTAAACTGAATGTCCTATTGTCACCTCACGCACAGCCAAGTGTCAACTGCGGACTCTGCCTTAAGTAGTGGTGTAGAGTCCAGGGGCATATGGTTTCGCCAGTACTTTCGCCGTCTACATTTTCTGCGATGTCGAAAAAACCTTGCGCATTTCGCCACCAAGACTTCGGTGTTCTTCTTCCTTGTCCTCCGCTCGTAATTCTGAGCAGTTCCAATACAGATCGAACACTGGGGTTGCTGTCATGAAGACTTCACCTGTGTTCGCGACCATGATTGAAGCGGCCAGCACCAAAAGAGCTTGCTGCACACCGAGAAAAGGTCTGACGCTCACAGCTGCTCAAGCATCGGAGTTTGTTCGCGCTACATGGCACTTAAGGATACTTTCGGGGGATTGAAGTGAGCCCTCGCACTTACTACAAAGTATTAGAACATTTCGCTTGTATCTTCCTGGGCTGCGTGGGGAGGTAAACACACTCTGTGTGGTTTCCAGCTTGGTGAGCCCCTTCCTCTACATTGCATCTACTGTAAAGCTCGTACTGGGTTACTCTTAGCATATCATGCACAACGAAATCGCCATTACTGGATGCTGCAGCAGGCCATTTCACTGACTTTTGGACCTAGTCTGACCACACATTTGATTTGACGTATGGAAGATACGTGATTGCCCCACACAAACATCGGAATCCGATCGCTGAATGCCTGCGAGATGCTACATGTACCGTATGCACATAGCCAACTCGACTAGCTCCGATCTTGCTCTTTAAACATGGCTCTAACGTCTCCAGTAATGGCCCTATTAGGGCCCCACTGATCATACTGGACCCTATGTACCAATGCTTATTACCTAGTTCATAAATTAAACTTCAAATATATGTCGGTGTCGCAACAGAGAGGGACTGCCGAGTGCGGCTTTAGTACATGGTATATCTTCTACTATGCGGGGTTTCTTGACAATATTCGTCACCATCGCGTAGAATTCTGACGTAGCTCGATCTTGCTGGACAGGGCTTAGTGCTCGGAAGCAATTAGGAAATACGCTGGCATTTTTACTCGTTAATGTCAGTTTCGTCCAGTCCTGTCATTATTGTAAAGCTTGTCAAGATTTGATATTTGTACTACGTGCCTGAAACGACAAATGCATCCAATTCAGTGTAGCTTCATGCTGCCTTTACACCTCATAATTTGGCTTTAAGTGCTACTAACGTGTTAGCTCGGAAAACTAGGCACTAGCTAACATATTACATGTAACATGCGCATGTACCAACATGTCAGCGTTAGAGGGTAGCCTAGCTCTATCGTTACAATCGCTCATGCCGGACCGGAACTGGTTTAGCTGTGCTATCGTCGTTAACTGAGCTGAAGTTAAGTCATCAGTTTTGCCCTAGCGGCAGGGCATTATCTAATATCACATCGCCTGATTGGGAAGTCGTATTGTAATATGCTAAGTCAGCCGTTGGAAACCCTAAACATAGTAAAAATTAAAGGACAACATTTTTGCACCCTTTTTTGTTGCTGTTGCTACATTACCACTTTTGATTATACTAGCCTGTCTCTCAAACGAACTTTAGCATAAAAAGATTTATTCTATCCAAGTAGAAGCTGATCTGATGACTTCCCCGGTCCTCAGCACGTGGACACATTTTCAGGCATCAAAAGTGTATCCGGTAGAGCTACACCCACAGTCCGATCAAGTACTATCTAAAGTGCCGTTAAACGGGCAAAAATGCTTGTGTAAGAGATCATATCTCAAATCAAGCTGTATATTTATTGTGCTGAACAAAATATGCTATATATTATTGTTTTGTGGGGGGTGTCTCTGACCCGGACTTTATGGATACACACTGACCGCGGGGACCGTGCGTAAATGACGAATTCTAAAGTTTTATTCAATCAAACTGCGAATGTACCACCGCTCGAATCCGGTTCTGCTGGCTCGAATGCGGAACATCAATCTGTCACTGCAACAAGCACTAAAATTATACATTAGCTCGCTTCACCTTACATCACTGTATCCCGTTGCGACTGACTAACGGGCAACAATTTCAAGAAACGCATCGGGGCAATTGCTGAATGATTCCTCGGCCATCTTCGCTAGGCTGATCGAAAGAGCTATCATAGTCGGAGGCTAAGTGTCATATCGGCATAATCTGTGACGGGATCCCACAGCACCTTGCGCTTGTAGAAGTTTCGAGTATGTACAAGCTCTCAAGTAATAGCAGCTCACAGGTCCCTTGTCAAAGGGAGCGAAGTCACCAGTTAAAGGTGAGTTGCAGACTGAATATATTTGTACGTATGCTTATCGAATCAAGCAATAAGCCACCGATAGTAAAGCTGTGTAGCAAGCCAATAATTTGTCTCTGGAATTCCTGGTACCATGCACCAGATATCCTGACGTGTGACGTGTCACACTTCATGTAACCAGGAGTACACTGGGTACGTACCCTGTTACATCCTCGTGTAACCAGGAGTACACTGGGTACGTGCTGCGTTACATCCTCCTCCGATTTAAGTACGACTTACCGATTAATCAGAATGAGGAAGTAAACGTCACAAACTCTCATTCTCAACGTCAAAAGACATCGACTGAGCTGCGAGAACACGGTGGAGGTTTACTTCACAGTTAGAGCCTCGAACAGCACTAAAGCACACATCTTATCAATCTCCGCTTCGCACTAAGCATGCCCCGTGGAAATGCAAAGAAAGGTGCGAAAGCACACACCAAGGCTGTTGCTGGAAAGTCCCAAGCGAAGAGCACTAAGCCTCGTGGCAAAGGCTCTTCGCTCCAGGAGGCTACTAAGGTGGCCTCTGAGGCGATCGGTACGAACGGTGACACGGCTGCAAGCAAGCGCACCAGCAAACGCCGCAGTCCGTCACTTTCGGTCTACCCAGACAATCGTCCGAGCCCGCGATTCGTTGAGCGTGAGTTCAGGCTGGGGGAGACCGCTATACCACTCGCTCTTCCTACAGAGTATTCGATGGCATCCGGTTGCCGCGTTGCAATAAATGGCTGACGTACTCGCACGAAATAAACCCCCCCTTCTAAAACGTCGCTTTTTATGATAATCGCTGTTTTAAAATTACCATTAACGAAAAGACTAAGATCTACTCATTGTGTCCCGGCATTCGCGAGATAGCGAAAATGTTTGGATTTGGCTTAATACTGTGTTTAACTTAAAAGGTCGAGAATCACGGGAAAGCTATAGTAACCCCCAAATTGAATGTTTCTTCACAGGGCTTCTTTCGCTCATGTGCTATAATATGTTATGCCAAGTCCAACATGGAATTCGGTGAAGACGTGATATTTGGCTTGATGCAAATTGAGTAGTTAAGCGACCTCAACTAGACAGCGATCAAAACAGTTAGCTTAGCTGAGCGAGGGAATCTTCACTTCCATCACCTTCCCCGTCTAAGTCAGACAAAGAGGATGAGAGGCACTGTCATTTCTTTTCCTTGTAGTTCTTTTGAGCCCGTCAAAAACTGAGAAGCTCGCTAAATGAACACAGCTATCACCAAGAACTTCACGCACTGGGGATAGATTAGACAAATCACGTTTAGACATCCCTCCCGAAGAAGGTTAACATCAGCGCGTCGAACAAGCGTTTTCCGGTTAGATTGAGTAGTTCGACATCTGTAAGGACTCCCACCAGGATACTATACCCCCCCCCTCGGGTTATCTCGGTTATGCAAATTTTTCAGGCAACTCGACAAGAGGTCGCTCATGTACACTAGACACGATCATTACGATACATAGTACTTGACTTCAGTACACGTGATTAATGTGTCGCAGTGCCAAAATCAATTGTTTGTATTGAAGCACTGGCGTAAACTGCAAAATCGCAATCGTTAGCAGGTGTAGCCTATTTTGTGCGATAACAGGAGCAACATATCTCATTAGCACGCCCAAACTCTAAAACTTGAGTGAGCTACAGCCACCAAAGTGGGTGCGTCATCTCATGTGGCGCGGAGTGTAGGTATTAATAAAGGAAACGGCCAATTTGAGTCCGTTTGGTCGTTCAAGGGCTACGGTTTTTTTAACCAGTGAGTAGACTGGCTTTCGGGCTTACCATTCGTTTATACTACAATAAGTACGAAAACTATACAAACCAAATTTTGGTTGGCGGGAAATCGCGAGCTAATGGCGA